TTTAACTTTCCAGGCTTTTCTATCTATGCATAATTATAACCAACATTTGCATTATTATATTCCTCTCCCACTCATAACCACACAATGACAGTAAAAAAAAAAAAAAAACATTACTCTGATGAAAATTCTTTCCATTTTGTCCTTAAATTGCTTTTTATTTTTTTTGTATGTGTTTGCACATGCACATGCACTCTCACACACAAATATATAACTTTACAGTTGTAACAGATCCTAAACATCAAGTGAAACTGATAGCAAGATGCCTTTTTGGACAGATAAAAAGACAGGTTTTAAGACTGTCAGAAAGGTACATATCTCCAGAGAAACACAGAAATGTAGCAGGATTTAAAACTAAATAGAATGAGGTGATTATATTCAATCACTATAATTTCTCTGGGGACATTTATATTAATATGTCATATAATACAAGTCCATCTCAATCAGATATCAGACAAGTACATCTCAATTTCTCATTAGTTTAAGTTAAAGTAGAAAAATTATAAGCAGCAGTTTATCTCAAAGATTTCATATTTTTTTTAATCCTTATGAAAAGGCCAAGACAAGAAGCTCTATCTTGATTATCTGAAGAGGGTCTTTCAAACAAAAACTCAGCAGTATTAAAAGGCACAGACAGAACAATATCAATGTCAGATATTTATAAAAATAGCAAAGTTTTAAATGAGGTATTGTATAAATTTTGTTTTATATACATGTTCACATTGTTTTTTTTTAATTTGATTTTAGCATTAGAAAATTTCAGATGGTTAATTTTATTATCTTTATCAACCTTTATCAAGTTTTCTTTCCATTTAAGTTTTAATCTTAATTAAAAATAATTTTTTTTAAAATGATTTTGCAATGTTCACATATTTTGAATTTTAAAAACATTTCCTCTTCAATTCATTATTTCTTAATGTCAACAAACGAACGTCAGGCTCATATCGTACTTGTCATCCCAGGATTAAAAATCACAAAACTGTATTACAGAATATGATGACCTGCAGTTGAGAAGAGGAAAATAAAATTAAAGAATAAAAAAAAAAAAAAAAAAAATGCCACAGACTAAAAAAACAAGACAAAACTAATACACAATTTGCCTTTCCTTAATGACACTAATAGTCATTCTTTTACATCAAAGACAAAATTTTAAAGTGCAAGGTCACAAAATGAACATTTTTGTCAATAGTACAAATATTAAAATATAATTAAAAAAAACATTTAAAAAAAGGGACAAGGCCTTTTAAAAATTTCCCAAATGATTTATACTGCATTCAAAAAGAAGAGTATTTCATTGCAATGTAATTGTCCTCCTATGTCAGTGAATGACAATTGTAATCACAAATGAAAGGAACTTCTTGAAGTGAAAGAGACGTGGTTGTAAGAAAGATTGAGAATAACATGGACACACAACAATTGATAAATGTGGAAGTTTTGCATAAAATAGAAACTACAAAGAAAGTATTGCTAATAATCAGAAAGAATTTTGGCAAAGAGGAAAAAAGGCTCGGAGAATTTAATGCTCAAAGGACACAGTGAAGGAAAGAGAAGCAGAAGAAATCAATTGCCAAATGAAACTCAAAGACAAAGAGTATTTCTGAGAGCAACAAAAGATGGGAAGTTGTGGAGAATCATGATTGATTGTTCACATCCTGAAGAGACAAGTCAGAGGAGGAATGAAACATTATCACCTTTTAATTCATATTATTGGTGATGTTAAAAATAGGAAATTTTACCCAACAGCTTTAAGATCAAAAGAAATCATTTCAATTACAATTAAAAGCAATGACTTATTAAAAATTTTACCATAAAAACAGCAGTTGAACAAAAATATTTGATAAAGTAAATTTATAAAAAACAAAAATGAAACAATTTAATTTTATAATAATGGTGTGGTTGATTTTGTTTAGCAGCATATCAACATCTCTACAGGTTATTTAGTGCCGAAATCTAAATATTTTGAAAATTTTATGGCTTCAACTGAATATATTTTTAACACAATTGTATGCCTTCAACTACAGGTAAAATATATTGTTGTTCATTTTGCTATAAAATATATTTTTAATAATTCTACTATAAAATATATTTTTAATAATTCTACTATAAAATGTATTGTTGGTAATTCTACTATAAAATGTATTGTTGGTAATTCTGATATAAAAAAAAATATGTTGTTGGTAATTTTACTATAAATATGTATTGTTTGTATTTTTTTTTATAAAAATGTATTGTTGGTATTTTTACTACAAAAATGTCTTAGTTTTTTTTAATTTTTGTTTGGGGTTCCACTATTTGCCCATAGCTGGGACCCTAACAAGTGCTACCAGGGTCAGGGTGAACCTGGAGACAACAGCAATTAAAAGGTGGTTCCACGCTCCTCAAAACCTCCAATCTCCAGATCATGTGCCTTGCTGCTGAACAGTTTATCATCATACCCATGACTATTTACAATATTAAAAACTTGTTTAAGCTGGAAGAGATGACAAGGCCAAGATCATTACTT